AACTCGTCCCCGGAACCTGGACATTAAATTACTAATTAATTTTTTTATGTAGATAACAAATTAAACCAAATTATTAATTAATTAATTAAGGATAAAATTTCCAGCAATATATACGTACCGTCTAAGAAGTCGGCAAGCTTTTCGATATTTTCAGCGACGAGATTGTGCAAATCCCGACCCGCCCAAACGGGGCAAACGAATATGGATATTAAGATGCATGCCGCCCCGCCCATGAGTACTGTGGCCAGCCTTTGATGGGACATTTGCAAAATGTGGTTGACCCGATAGCCCGAAACCGCCACCAGACTGAAAGTGACAATGAATATTTGCCCTCCGTAATCATATTTCCTCTTTACGATCGGCAGAAATCGCGTATACGTCGCTGCGCCCGCTGCACCATTTAATTTTATTTAAGTGTATATATATAGTTATTGTTACGTATAACACAATTTATAAAACCCGTAAACCGGAATGAAATTGTGTATGGATTTGTTGTAATCAACGACTAATTATAAAATTAACATTAGCAAACAACCCCTACAACTTTTTTTTTTTTTTATAGCAACACTACCCCTAAGAGCTCACCATTTAGGAGTTGTATGCAAGAAAAAAATATTTATCATAAAGTATAGTTTTTTAGTAATTTATCAATTGAATACTGACTGAGGTACTGGCATGCAATAAACTCAAATTAATTCTTAAAGAAGTTTGTTTAGGATGAAAATATTATATTAAATATTAATCTATATACTTATAATGAAGACGAGAAAGCCACGAATAACCGGCTCTCCTCTCTCTCCACCGGCAGCGGCTAACGACTTTGCTCCAATTCCTATAGCAGCACCGAGCACCGTCGCGCCACCTCTGTTCAAGCTTTTTGATAGGGTCCCACCTTACGAAATTAAGTAAATAAAATTACAAAAATAAAATAAAACAAAACACATTTATTATTATCGATCAAATATAATACACACCTCTATGCATATTTGAATAATTAAGAAGGAAAGGTTAATTAATTACTTATGGACGGGAACTATACCAACGGTAAATTCGAAAACGACGACGACCGTTAAGATAGCGCAAATTGCTGATTCTCCAAAGCTATCGTAAAGCGGTCTAAAGTAGTAGAACAAAGATACTAATGTGAGTGTTAATCCTACTTTCATTGCGTGTATAACTCTTCTCGGATCATCGGTTCCGATTTTCTTGGTCGTTTTTGCGGCATTTACCATCTTGCCCTTAACCCAATCCCATTTACTAGCTAAGATTCCTAGGTTTTTCTCTTGGTTAGGCGAATTCATCTCCAATAATGTTGGAGATATTATATTGTGGAAGGGCAACCTTGGGAATTATTAATATTGTTTCTATTTTTGTATATATGGTATGTATTCTAGTTTTGATGGGGGAGCTACAATTTATATTGGATTGATATGGAAACTGTGCATGATAATAGCTAGGTGAATAATTCTTAGTGTACTGATGGTTTAATGCTATTATTTAGTGTTATTGTTTCCCAAATTTTCACATTGAAAATGCTATATGAAACGTTTCTCTTCATTTTTTGACATTTTTTAACCAAACACGAATATTTTTTCGATCGAAAAAAAAACCACGAGAAATTGGTTCTCACTCCTCAAGATCAAATAATTCGTTCGATTTTTTTTTTCTCGCCAATTTCTTTTTTTTTGAACGTTATTAAAATAATTTTTACTTTCGAAATATGCGACCCATCCAATTTTTATTCGATGAAGCAGTCGATGGAATTATTGCCGTCGTTTAAGGGCACATTATATTTGAGTATTTATTATCATGAACAGCGAATTGACGTTGCAAAGGAACAATCTCAACACCCTATTTCTAGAGTAAGAGTACAAAGACTTAAAATTTGCAAGCTCTTTTTCAATTGCTACAATCCGTAGTAATAACTGAATTTGCCAACTATATAGTACGTAGAATTTCGATAATTTAATTTTTAATTAATTAATAACATCGTTTAAATAATATTTATATCGGTTTGGATTCGGAATTAATAACATATGGTAAATTAACAATTCATTAACACTACAAAAAAAATCTTTTGAGTGACAACACCTATTTTTCACATAATTAGGCAAAAAGTGTTGTCACTATACTTGTCACTAACGGAGTGTTGCTAATGCTCTATAGTGACAATAAATAAGGATTAAGTGACAACAAAAAGAACTATTAGTAACAATAAGTGACAATTTTTGCGTTTGTCACAATTGGGGTGTCGTTAATGCAACTTTTTCTTACAGTGTAATTTTATAAAATAAAACAATTTAATCAGTGACATGGTGAAAGCTTTTGGTTTAATTTTATTACAACTCAACGAAAAATATATCATTGTTGTTTAAGATTTTTTTTTCCGAGGAGATGCTTTATATATAGTTGAAATATTTTTTCAACTTCCCCAAAATATCGCAATGTACATAAGAATTTATGTTTCAACTTCATTTAATTGGTTTAATTAATACGAAAATTTCAAGGACTACCTGAGGGGACCGAAACACCAACTTTGTTCCGTCACCGTTCATATTTTCTTCAGATGACACTATCGATTTTTACTTTTTGTACCATTCGAGTTAAATTCATACCTAATCGACCTTTAAAATGTGCAAATTAGCTCAATAACATTGACAATTTTTTTTTTTTAGAGAAATAAATAAATAGCATTGACAATTTTAAGAATGTAGATCTGCATATGTTAGTATGGATAGACGAATTAACGCTAAACATCTACTCGATATATACATAATTCAGCATGTGTAGTAAAAATGTGTTCTAATTATATTAGAGATTGATGATGCAATGCAAAATGATTCTATTTATTTGATCCTGGTATACTATTTGAAACCTTTAAATATATATAGCTGCCAAATAAATAAAATAACCAATTTTTTAATTAATTACGAATTACTTCAACGCCAATGGAATCAGTCAAGCCACGACACATTTAACTCTCAACACGATCCGGAACTCTTCCGATAAGTCTCCCATCTCGATTCGAGAGTTGGGGAGCTTAATGATATACCTAATTGGGCCGACCCAATGGGCCCACAATTTATCTAATAATTGGGCCCGCTACACAAAAGCCCAAACACCTTCAAAATAAGGCTTTGACCCAACAAAGTAAGTCCAACCCAATCAACAACCTATAAATAGAGGTTTTTATTCTTTTGTTAAGGTACGTTCTATTATTCACGAGTATTCTAGAGTGCATATTCTCTCTACCATTTCCATGATCCGTACATCTGACTTGAGCATCGGAGGGGTTTCCGCCGGATCAACTCCCGGCTTAGTTCACGTGTGTTCATTTCGCAGGGACCTCAAGATCATCACATTGACAAGCTACTGATCCGTTTTGCTCTCCTAGCTCATTTACCACACTACCCCAAGTGATCTAAGTAATTAGCATCATCAGAGATTGTTACATACAATCAAGATCTTGTCTTAAAATTCTAGGCCCAAAATCAAAGAGCATTTTACATACAAATTATATTTATGCAGTTTATGATTTATTTAATATTTTTAATTAATTTGGTGCTAATTAATCAGAAAATGTGCTGTAAAAACTAAAAAGATATAGTTAGATGATCAGGTGATGGTAGTTAATCGCACCCAAATGAAGCTGTATGTGCGGATCACGTGCTTCAATCTGGCACTAAATTTTTTCATCTTATATTAATTATTGGAATAATAATATTTGTATCTAGCTGATCGATTTATCGATTTTTAATTAGTACCTTGAATTGTATTTGTACCTCGTACAGTCGTACGTGCAAATAAAATTATATGTCTTACATAATTGATCACATTTATGAGTATGATCTGACGCCATCACTTAATTAAAATATAATTCATGTCTTAATTTGCTGATGTCAAAACCATATGTATATCGGCCTTCAATCAATCTGTCTGCATCTTCTTAATTCTACAACTCTCTCTCTCTCTCTCTCTCTCTCTCTCTCTCTCTCTCTCTCTCTCTCTCTCTCTCTCTCTCTCTCTACTTACGTACGTAATAAAATTTTAATTTGGAGTATATAACGCCTGAGGGAGATTTCAGGTGACAACATTTTCCATAATCACATGTATACTATGCTGCACGGACACTTCTAGAAGGTGAAGTGTCTACGCATCCGATACCTGGACACTCGGACACACCTGAACACTTCTCGGATACCCGTGTCGGGCCATGTCGTAATTTCGCTAAAAGTAGGACACCTGTGTCGGGCAGTGTTCATAATTTTAAAAAAGTTGGGACACTTCTCTTACGTTTTAAGAGAGAGCCCTAATAAAAAAAAAACGCATTTTTTTTCTATGTAATACACATTTCCTCTGTTTTCTTTGTGAGTCTACCCAAAACTCCAAAAGTCTAGCATGCGACGGCGATCAAGAACACGAGCAACAAGAACGAGCGGTTCTTTTATGCGATGACCACTTATACATATTTTTTTATAATTTATAAATGTACCCCTATATTTTTATTATTTATAAATATACCCCTATATTTTTTATATTTACACGTATCCCCCTCGTGTCCGTATCCTAGTTTTTTTGAAATGCCGTATCACCATGTCCGTATCCGCGTATCGCCGTGTCCACGTATCCGTGTCCGTGCAGCATAGCATGTATATCATATTTATCGAATCGATTGTTAAAAGCATATTATATTATATTTAATACCCATAATACGTACTAGCTATAGTTAAAATTTAAATTGAAAAAAAAATCAATTATTTTTTAAAATGTAAATAGGATTGTTAAGTATATATTTTTACACTTTATCCTACCTTTTTATTTGAGCTTTTGGTGTGATTTAACGATAATTGGTGCTTAAAAAGTTGATTTATTGTATTTTAGGTATAAATTGAAGAATTGGAAAAGTTTGGGGTCAAAACTGCAATTTTGGAGAAAATATGGGCCAAAAGTGAAATAATCAAAAATCTGAAGAAATTGGCACGGGACGGCCGTCCCAAATTTACACCTAAAAATGGGGCGGCCGTGCCAATAGCAGAAATTGGGGCAGAAGGTTTCGGCGATTCTCGCGCGGCCGTGTGAGAATTGCACTGATTTTCGCGCGGCCGTGCCAACACACGCTGGAGACAATTTTGGACTTTTAATCACACAAGGAAACCTAAAATCATCTACCAAGTTGGGACATCTATTTAAGCCCAAACCAAGCACGAATTAGAGAACTTTTGACACAACCTTGGAGCGAGAGGAGCGAGAGAACGAAGAATCGAAGACGGAGAATTGACAAATCTTCATCACAATTCTTCTTTCATCTATCTTTTCTTAATCTATTTCTTTTTATGTTTTTATGATGTTTTTCGTAGAGACCATGAGTAGCTAAATTTTTAATCTAGGATTTTGTTGGAACCCTATGTGGGGATGGTGAACTCGTTTTCTTGAGATTATGCAATTATGATTTTATGATTATTTCTTATACTTGTTATGATTGTTAGTGCATGAACTTGATCAATTTATGTGCTTTATCTGTGATTATTGGGATTGAGTCGACAGACCTATTTTGATAATTTGACGGTGAGTATAAGAACCTTCGAGTAGTTTTCACCGGATGAGTGTGTCAATTGCATGTGGTGTCGTAGACATACAGATATCACCTTAGGTAGCCATTTACGAGACTTGTTAGTTAATGATTTATTTATAATTGGTTTGCATAGACATATAGTGAACCGTTTATGAATAATAGACTCATAATACACGCGACAGCGGGTTATGAGTAAATTAGTGTCTCGAGTTAATAATCATGAATCATATATTTCATAATTGAGGGGTTTTGGGTGAGCAATTCTTGCATAGGGGAAGATAAAATCCTAGGTCCGTTTTTAATTGATATTTTCTCGTGATTATTTGCGTTCTTAATTAGTTTAATTGTTTAATTGATTTGACAACCTTGCGTAGGCTGGATAAAAATCATAATTGTTAGAATTTGGTATTTAGGATTTGATAATTTGCGTATTCCCTGTGGGATCGACATCCGACTCTCACGAGTCCACTTTTACTACTTATTTGCGATACGTGCACTTGCGTGTTAGGTATTTAGCCCCAACAAGGATCATAAATCGAATTCTCCTATGTGATTTATTTTTGACAAAGCAATTTCAAATCCATATACAACCTAATTCGTTTTTAGTTATTATTTGAGCAATATTTATAGTGGATTTCAAATACGATCCCTACCCATTTTGAGTCGTTTCAAAACCTAATTTTAAACACATTCATTTGAAATCATTCGATCCAAACACAGCCTAAAGGATTTTACCCAGATGCACTAAAGAGAAAAGAAAAGGGAAAAAACTGAGATTGGATGAGGATTAATATTCTTTTCGTCCCACTCGCACCAGATCCTTAAGTGGGAAACAACTCTGTATATGTAAATATATTGCAAATAGTTTCTTGTTTGGGGTATATGTTTTTCAGTGTCTAACGCTGAGGCTGCCTATTTATGCTATTTGCTAAACAAATATCTGAATAAATGTATCTATATATAGATATATAGATAGCACTATCTATAGCACAAACAGATTCCAAGAACCACTTATGTTCATATAGTGGGCAGCGTGCATATATCCATCTCAATATATATCTACATTAATATTTAGGTTTAACTAAATTAATATACTTAACAATATTTATCCATTCATTTGTTCTTAAAGTTTTTCTGGCTTAAAACTGTTATTATTACAAAAAAAAAAAAAAAACACTAATTATGAGCCAAAAAAAAGCTCGTAATTCAAAAGTTTTACTCAAGTTATGTACAACTATTTGGAAGGTTCTTTAAATAAAAAAAATAAAATAAAGAGAGACCAAATTTTAGTACCAGATATGAGCTCATACTCAAAATAGCAGTGGTGAGTTTGGTAAGGTCGGGGCCATAGCCCCTCAACATTTCTTAAATCTCTATTATTTTATATAATAATAATAATAAAAAAAAATTGTGTGTAAAAGCATTATTGGCCCCTTCCTCATAGGTGTTTTAATGTATTCGTGAAGGTCGGTGTAGCCTCCTCACCCATCAAATATATATATATATATATATATATATATATATATATATATATATATATATAATTGTTCTTATTATTAAAATTTATGTATCTAGTTAGAAAGATCAATAAAGCATATATTAAACAAAAAAAAAAAAAAAAAGAATGTGAGAAAAGACCATGTTGAATTTGACATGAACCTAATAGTATACAGCACCGACCAAAAAAACAATACATCATCAACCTATGTACAATGAAAAAATACACGGTCTCACATATCATTAGTGTGGTGACATATATTCGCATTTCTCAACTAATTAAATTAAATAAAAAATATTTATATAATATTTACAGTTTTCATATTTTCCACGGAGTCCCCCAACTTATCGTTAATCTCAATCACCACCCCATGTTCATCATCAACCGGCTTCACAATCCCACGGCGAAGCAGCTGCTTCTGATCCGCCGAAACCGCTTCTCTTACAAAACCCGCTTTTTCCGAAAGTTCATTAACAGAAACCGCGATTCTCTCCACGCAGGCAACGACGTCGATTAGTACAGATGATGTAACGAGCAACGGCATGATTTCTTGGAGGTCAAGTTTCGTTGGCAGCAGAGACGAGTTCTCGAGTACTCTCTTGAGTTCTTCGGCCGCCGATTTCGAGTTCTTGATGTGGGTTTCCGCCGCCGCCGATGGAAAGGTCTTGTTTTTCAGTGCGGTGGCTAATTCTCTTAGGGCTTCCCCCGATTCGGTGCTCAGTTTCTTGCATGATGGTTGGATTTTCAGATGCAGCTCTGATGAAGATGCCTCCTGCAAATCAAAGTTCTAAATTATAAGCCGAGTTTCACAGTGTAGTTTAAGTGTTTGTGAAAATGTCTAAATGAGTAATATTATACCTTTGCCTGAGTATGTTTCGAGTTTACGGAATATCCGGCGAGTGTTTCGATATGAGAGGCGCATTCTCTCGAAAGACCGCCAATCTTCAAATAATGTTTCCATGGATGATTATATCTAAAACCACCATGCGCAGGCTCCCACCATGCAAAGTTTGCCTGTGAAAATTATTATATCAATATTCAATAAATCATTTTTGATCATCACTTGTAGTCAATAAAAACAATTATATTTATATATATGTATAGTTGAAGCATGTTGACTAACCAGGGATTCTTCGGTTGCTTTCGAGTTTAGCACGTTTTTATAGCCCTCGAGATACGACTTGTCTTTATCATCGTCACCTCCAAAACCTGTAATTATCAGTTTTTCACAGTTAGCTTCTTAATCTCAATTAGATGCATTACAATTAGTCTTAATATTGACACGAGTAAATTATGGAAAAACAAAAAAATATACTATTTAAACAATGTATGTATTAATTATTCCTGACTAATGGGTTGCCACTTTGTTATGTTTCTAAATATAATTCTTTCATAAAGAAAAAGACATAAATTTAGGGACAAATTACTCCACGTAATATGTACCTTCTAAGAAGGTGGCGAGCTTTTCGATATTTCCAGAAACGAGATTGTGCAAATCCTGACCCGCCCAAACGGGGCAAACGAATATGGATATTATGATGCATGTCGCCCCGCCCAGCAGAATTGTGGCCAGCCTTTGATGGGCAAGCTGCAAAATCAGGTTGACCCGATAACCCGAAACGGCAACCAGGCTGAAAGTGAGTATGAATATCAGCACCCCGTAATCGTACTTCTTCTTTACGTGTGGGATAAATCGCGTAAACGTCGATGTTGCAGCTGCAAATCGAACATATTAGTAATTAATTAGGAATGAATTAATCATATCTAACCACGACGAAATAAAATTACATTAACTTACCTAGAAGAAAGACCAAAAGGCCAAGAACAATCGGCTCTCCTTTGTCGCCGCAGAGGCCGGCCAGATACTCGGCTCCGACCCCTAACGCACCGGCCAACAATGTTGCGACACCTCGGTTTATACTTTTCGATAGCGTTCCACCTTAAACAAAACGAAAAAAAAATATTTAAATCCAAAATATAAAAATAATTATATAAAAAATATATAAAAGCTGCATGTTTAATATTAAGCATTAGGGTAGGGTAATACTTACCGATAGTAAATTCGAAAACGACGACAACAGTCAAGATTGCCCACATTCCAGCTTGTCCGAAGCCATCATACAAAGGTCTGAAGTAGTAGAACAAAGACACTAACGTAAGAGCCAATCCAACCTTAATTGAGTGTACTATTCTTCTTGGATCATCTTCTCCGATTTTCTTCGTTTTTTTCACGTTCTCCATTAATTTTTCAGACATGGCCGTGAAGAAATTAATAACTGATCTCTGAACACCTCCGGCTTTCTTTTGGTTCGCTGAACCAATTATCTCCATATTTGCAAAAAGAAAAAAATAATTTCTTCTGATGAGAAATGTTTTCTTTTGCAACTGTAGATCAGTGTTTAGAGAAAGAGAAAAGATGTGCAGGATTTTTTTATGGTGGACTTGCCTTAATTTATAATGTGAGTGTTGTACTTTTTTCTTTAATATTTTTAATTCGTGACTTTTATATTTGGTATGTTTGATTGTAATTTGAGAATATTCAAAATGAGTTTTTTAGACCTCTAAGTTTATTGGTTGAGAGAATTAATCCATTACGTTTTAAAACCATAATATTAGCCCTATAAATTATAGAAATTGAAATTTTTGGTCATATGACATGTTATCGCAGATAACTCGATCAATAGTTGACCAAAAATGTGCCATTTAATGTATAAAAATAAAATTTGTGGCGATTTTGGAGGGAAATTCCATCAAAGACCGAGCGTTATAATTCCTCCATGTATATAGTAGTTAGCGTTGTAATTCTTCCCTCCACCCGGTGTCTTTTACATTTGGAGTATTTTACATCGAGGATGGAATTTCCCTCCAAAATTGTCCAACCTATCAACCATATTATCGATTTTTGTTTTTAATTTATTAATTTGTATATATTAAATGTCAACTCATTCAAATTACATGTTATAGTAGGTTATGGGACAAAAAATTGCAAATCTTGTAACTTATAGGACTAAAATTCTGATCTTAAAATGTGGAGGACTAAATCTCTCAACTAATAAACATACAGGAAGAAAAAAAATCCATTCGGTCTTTGACAAGGTATAGATTAGTTGGCTTTCCATGTATTGAATCTTGATACATGATTTAATTGATTTAATTAATTTCCCTAATTCGGATGCCACTTTTATATATGGCAATATTTACTTTTATCGAAATTATCTCCATTTATGTATAGTAGCTAGCGTTATAATTCTTCCTATATTTGATTGTTAAGATTGGCTGGCTTTCAATAGTTATTATTATTTATTTTTAATCACCTACATTAAATGATATTGTATTTCATCTTGAAATTTATTTATTTATTTGGTAAGTGCAAATGGAAGTTTCACTTTAAATCCGCAAGTACAACTTTTGCAAAGTTGGTTGAGGGTAATAACTAATAAGAGTATTTTATTGAATGATTACGTGTGAATGAATATGTGCTTTGTTTGATCTTTGGTAAGTGACAAAATTACTTTTTTTTTGGAAATTAATCAAATGAGAAAATAAA